GGAGCTGGAGGAAGTGTCTGGAGAGAGGGAAGTCTGGGCATCTTTGCTTAGACTGCTGCCCCCGCGACCCGGTCCCGGATAAGCGGAGGAAAATAGAAATATACACCCTGAATTAATGGCATAACATGAAAATAGTACAGCGTGCTTGCATGACCACTCAAAATATCACTATTGTGCAGGTTGCAATGCATAAATCTTCTCCTCACTATGTTTTCACACACTTTAATGAATTACACAAAAGTATCATTTTGTTCAAATAAATGGATTTCTCTTCAATTTTTACCCAGGAACAACAGATTCTTCTTTAACTTTCTCAAGGGTTTGGCAAAATATTGTAAATATAAATATATATAGTATATATATTTTTAGAAACAGTACTTTTTGTTGGCTTTATTTAGACAGAACTTTTATTTTTCTTGGGAAACTGATGCAACAGAGGTCTTGTTATGTCAAGAGTATTGTTACTCAGAAATCACAGTGTTAATAGAATTCACAGGAAGAGGCATTTTTCTTTCCTTTGTGTTTTGGTGTTGAACCACTTCAACTGCCAGTAGCACCTTGACATTAAAATAACCTGATGTGTTTACATGTTTACAGGCTGCATCCACTCTGGTGTGCGATACGATCACAAAGCCAAGTGGAGACCAATAGAGAATCCTTGTGATGTCTGCTACTGTTTGGTGGGTCTGATACTAACTATTTACTTAACCTCCCATCTTTTCTATCACCTTCATCTCCAGAGATACTTACCTGTATTCTCCCCCAGGAGGGTCATGTTAGGTGTGAGAGGGAGCGGTGCCACACCCCTTGTAGCAACCCATCTGCTCCACCACCCAACACCTGCTGTCCAGTTTGTCAAGGTGGGCCACTTTCCTTGCATGTGTGTGTTCAGCGGACTGCAGAGAGACAGTATGTGTTCTTGTGTATCTTGTAGATTGTGGTGTCAATGGTCATGACTTCCCTAATGGAGCTGTGATTCCCACTGGAGACCGCTGTCAAGAGTGTACATGTGTGGTATGTCATTGTTGACACTGATCATTAAATTACAAAAGCTTTGTCAGTTGAGATTCAGTTTACCTTCAAGTATATCTGGGTTCTTCCTCTCCCAGAATGGAAATGTGGTGTGTTCATCCCTTCCCTGTCCTGCCGTGTTTTGTCGAAACCCTGTGCATCATGCTGAAGACTGTTGTCCACGGTAACAAACCTGCCTTCATCCATGTCACTTTGAAGGCTCCATTCATCCATCACATTAAAATCATACCTTCAGTGCACATGTGGTAAACTTGTAAGAATTCTTCAGACATACAATATGTTATGGTGCAGATGAGTGATTCAAGAAACAAGTATTAAATGGTTTTCAGAATTTATGACTGTTTAGGTTGTGTGTCTGAGGCGTGTAGGTGTGAGCAGTGTGAATATGAGTCCAGAGTATATGCCAATGGACAGAAGTTCCCCTCCAGAAGAGACCCCTGCCTCCGCTGTCACTGCTCTGTGAGTACAGTCTGGACTGGACTCATGATGTGGCCTGCCCAAATGGGTTCAAAGAAACGCTGTCACATTTACTTTAAGAAATTAATGTGATTCAATTTGAATATGGGATTAAGTGTGAAAATGTGGTTGTTTTCATTCCTGGAAACATAGTTTATAGATCTTTTATCTTCAGCAGATAAAATGCTATATCAATGTGATGCATTATTTCCTTAAATGTCTATCTGTTAGGCAGGTGAGGTGTCTTGTGAGCATATGGATGTATTGTGTCCCACCCCACACTGCAGTCATCCTGCTAAGCGCAAAGGAGAATGTTGTCCAACATGTGATGGTCAGTATATCTGTAAATCTGTGAAAAAGATAAAATTTTCTCATATCTTTGTCAACTTTCTTACTTTTGCCTATTACATGTTGTCTTCCAGTTCCAAATATAATCAGAGTTTGTGTTTGTTCCTACAGAATGTGAGTATGACACCAGGGTGTATCCTGATGGAGAAGTGTTCGTCCCTGCTGGGAGTGGACCCTGCCTGCAGTGCCGGTGTAAGGCAAGTCCATACAGTGTACTCAACAAGAAATATTATTAAAAAAAACAACAACTGTGTATCATGACATGTCTTTTTGGGGAATATTCTTTTTATGATTCTATACTTTTCACAGCACATATTAGGCATATTTCTGTAATATAATGTGTGTTTTAGGGTGGGAATGTCATTTGCCATGAAGAGAAATGTCCTCTAGTCCAGTGCTCCAGCCCTGTTGTAGATCCACATCTCTGCTGTCCAGTCTGCAAAGGTAAATAATCCACACACAAACACACATGCAGGTGCAGCTGATAAATGAATATACACTGTGAGAACTCCTCTTTTCCCAATATAGCATGTGTGTTGGAGGGGGTGGAATATGAGGAAGGCTCCACTTGGGACCCTGACGGCCCCTGCTCCAGCTGCACCTGTGTGGCTGGCGAGGCCATGTGCACACACACACACTGTCCCCCCAGTCAGTGCCTGCATCCCACCAAGATCACTGGTAAGAGTGCATGTATCAGAGCTTTGTTTGCATGCAGATGATTGTGAACCCAAGTATACTGTCTTTCCTGTTCTTAGGTTCCTGTTGTGAAGTGTGTGAAAGCTGCACCTATAATCATCGTATCTATAGCAACGGGCAGAAGTTTACGAGCCCTGAGAAGCCCTGTCTCATCTGCATTTGTCAGGTAAGCATGTCCAGACTTGCACACATAATGCTGTATTGTTCATAGTCAAACCTGGTGACAAGCCTTCACCTGTCCTTAGCATGGCACTGTAGAGTGTGAGAGAAGACCTTGTCCTCCACTCAGCTGTACCAACTCATACACACCACCTGGAGAATGCTGCCCTAAATGTCCAGGTACTCAAACTGGTCATGAACCAAATAGTGCATGGTTTTTGTATTTGTCTTGTTTTCTTTTAATCTATCCTCAGTCAGTCAGCTGAACTCGACACAATGCATTTGTTTGGACATGTTCCAGACTGCTCCTTTGAAAACCATGTATTTGTGGATGGAGAGGCTTTTCCCAGTCCTGTGAGTGTGTGTCAGGAATGTACCTGTGTGAGCGGCAGGATCGACTGCTACCAAGCACAGTGCCCTCATCCTCGCTGTAATGCTCCTCTACCTGGAACATGCTGTCAGAACAACTGCAATGGTGAGGAAAGCATACCTTTTAAAAGACAGGAGCACAAATACGTTTTAAAAACTAAGATCTCACAATTCCACAATCTTCCGCTATATTAGGCTGCAGCTATGCTGGGACAGAGGATCCCAATGGACAGGAGTTTCCTCATCCCACTGATACGTGCAGGACATGCAGCTGCATAGTAAGAATAATGAGCATCACAGCATGACTAACCCTGCTGTGTTGATCACCCCCTTTAAACAGGTTTTTATTTCAGCCTGTGTTGTCTGTTGTAGAATGGGAATGTCCAGTGTCTGATGAAGAGGTGCCCACCACTGCTCTGCTCCAACCCAAACATGCCACCGGGAGACTGCTGCCCCCGGTGTCCCGGTAAGGATGTGCAAAAAAGAAAGGTCCAGAAGGAGTTGACGAGGAGGCGTGGAGGGAGATACGTGAGCTAAAGGAAGTGTAGGAAGTGTTAAAGAGACATGTGCTGAGCAGGTATTGCTGTTCTAAAGTCAATGGGAGGTTTGTCTTTGGCCTAATTATGAACATGGTTAGCAGACAGAGCTGCAGCAGCTGTGGCTGTGACACAGCTCATGGAGAAGGTAATTTAAAGCTACTAGTGCCTGCTGTCTTTCTTGCAGACAAATCTGAACAAACAGACAAGATACACATGTTTTGTAGATTTAGTGTGACTTCAACTTCCTGAGGTTGACATTGTTGCCACTGTCTGTCTCTGGCTATATCTTATATTTCCAAAACTTGGGAATCATCAGGTTTGTTCAGTGTCAAAGTAATCCACTGATAGTTGTCTGTATATCCACGAGTACATGGCAAACAGGAACTGCTTATAACTAATGATGACCATTAATGATGCCATTTTGCTGTAATGTAAACAAATATAGGCTAAACAGTTTCTTTGTTTCTTGGCTCATGATGGCACATGATCAAATAAATGCATGAAATGTGAAGTTGTAGGTGGAGGCATACTGTTGATTCTTTTAACTGATGTTCCCTCAGCTCCTCCACTGGACTGTATGTATGAACAACGACCCTACAGACACACTGAGCGTTTCTACCATCCAGCTGACAGCTGTCGATCATGTATCTGTACCAATGGTACAGTTCACTGCCAGCGCAAACCCTGCCCCTTTCCTCCATGTACTCACCCCATCATGCAGGAGTGCTGCCAGACCTGCGAAGGTATAAGTTCTTTTTCCGCAAAGCAAAGGTTTTGATACTTGATGGAGTTGTTCATCCATTTAATCTCACCATGTTCACTCATTCCCTCTTGCAGGCTGCTTCTATGAGGGTCAGGACCGAGCTAATGGAGAGATGTGGGATGACATGTCAGACCCATGTGCTGTGTGTGTCTGCCATGAAGGCTCTGTCAGGTGTGAGAGGAAGCGCTGTCCACCCTCCAACTGTGACCACCCAGTCCAGAGACGGTGCTGCATGTCCTGTGATGGTAAGTGAAACACTTAACAGCCGCATAACCTTTTAGAAAATAATGTCCCAGTTACTGAAGATAATACACTGGCACTGACTGTCAACAATATCAGTGTCTCCTTTTGTACTTGCAGGTTGCATGTTTCAGGGTAAAGAATATCCCGACGGAACCGAGTTTGCTGATGACAAAGACCCCTGTGTTGTGTGTTACTGTTATGGAGGGGATGTCATCTGCACCAAAATACCTTGCTATGGAGATTGTAGCCACCCTTACAAACCAACCGGACAATGCTGTGGGGAATGTGATCGTATGTAAAGTCAAAATCAGAGTCTGCTCACATTTCTAGTTTTGTCTCATTAATTTCAGGCTAAAGATTACAAAATAACAAAATAAGCCTCTCTTTATTTTGTAGGCTGTTTCTATAACAGTGCAGTCCTCATCAGTGGACAGACTATTCCTGACCCAGGCAACCACTGCTCTGAATGTACCTGCCAGGTAGTATAAACACACACACACAAACACACAGTTCTGCTGTTTAATTCTTTTATATAACATGTCATGCTTATTTAGAGACCGGTTCAGTGCAATGTGTAAAGAAGTCATGTCTTGCAGCCCTGTGTCCTCATCCAGTCACCAACCCATGTGGCTGCCCTGTCTGTGATGGTATCCAAGCTCTGCAGATATCACAGTTAATCTATCATTGTAGTATGTAAATAACAGACTTTTTACTGTGTGTGTAGGTTGTCAATTCCAAGGTGTGACTTATGTTGATGGACAGATTTTTCCAGGAGGAGAGAAAGGATGCCAGGACTGCACATGCTCAGTGAGTGGGAGACGTCAGTGGCTCCCTACAACAACAAAGCTATTGCATGTCTCTGATGTTTTTGTTTTTTTTTCCATAGAGAGGTGAAGTGGTGTGCGCTCAACGAAGATGCCCTGCCATGTCATGCCCGCACCCCGCTCTAGACGGCTGTGCATGTGGGGTGTGTGACGGATGCTACTTTAATGGAAGAGACTGTTTTAATGGAGAACAATTCCAACATCCAGCAGATCACTGTCAGCATTGCTCCTGTCTGGTACAGCATATATATTGTTACATATATTCACAATACTCTGTCATTCTGAAGAACAATCACAGTTAAGTAAATTATTTGCATCACACTGGGAGTCTAAATGTGTGTCTTTATGTGTAGAATGGTGGTGTGGTGTGTGCACGTGTATCTTGTCCAAGCCTTGCCTGTTTGCGTCCAGTGACCCCTGCAGGGGAGTGC